ACCGCAGCAGGGTTAAATAAGACAACTATTCTTAAACATTATAAATGTTTAAATTATTTACTTTCGATACATCAGTGACCGGTATTTGCCAATGTTAAATTTGTGTTCGTTCGATGTTAAATTTCTACACTGTTAATAATAATAAAAGCAAATATTAAATTCCTATTGAAACGTTATTGTCAAAGTTCATTAAATTAAAATTAAAATTTATTATGAAATTAAAATATCATTGTTGAATTATTAATTCATCTAGCCTTGAAACTCGAATTAAGCAAGAATATTCACCGTAATTTTTAGACGAAGTCCTGTACCTCCTCATCGTTCTACGTCTCAGACATGACTCCCATAGCTTTTGAAGAGTGCTGACATAATAAGATCTACGCGTGCGCACGAAATCTGCGCGTGGTCACTATGCAGAGAAATATGTTTATGAAATCTTGATGAGGCTGTTATGTACAATATTTGAGTTCCAACGTATAATACATAAATTAATTCAAGGATTTTATTACTTTAATTCCGTAAGTTAATATTTAAATGAAATTGTTGGAAAAATTTAAGGACATTCTTCGTGTCACCTAAACAATTTTTTGTAAATGTAAATAAAAAAGACTGAACCAGCCTTGTTTGAAAAACTTCTTAACTTTAAAATTAAGAATTTCTACATTTTTGGAATTTCTTAGATGGAAAAATATTAGCGTTTTATGCTGCAGAAAGAGTCACTTTAATAAAGTGTATAATAATTTGAAAGAGCAGAATTATATTCAAAAAAATAATATGTCTCATCATCGATAGATCAAATATTTTTGCAATGAATCAAAAAGAATAAATTATATAAATATAATTATAGTAAAATAAATTACATGATGCTAGTATGAATTACATGAAAAATAATATATTTAATATATTATAATATAATTTATATATTATAATTAATTATAATTAATATATTTATAATATATTATAATTTAATTATTATAATATCGCTTTAATAAAATATATAATCTATTTCATAATTACGTAAGTATAATTATATATGTAACATATATGTAATATATTTTGTATTACTATCTTTTAATGTTGTCCAACCAATGTCAGTTCGTATTTACATTTCTTTTTCTGCCATATATCACACGAATTTCTGTTCACTTTGAAGACTTTGTACAACATACAGGGTGTACGAAATGGCAATTTTCTTCTTTTGAATATACAAAGAAATTTTAACGCCTCTGAAAATATTGAAATATCTTGTTTGTGACTAAATTGTTTCATAATTTTGGAGACTGAAGATTTTCTTTTCACAAGGCTACTTTAAAACTTGCCACATGTTTTCTTTTCGTTTAAAAACGTCAGGATTTCTTGAATTCTTTTTGCGAAGTTATAGTTTGAAATGTCGACGATTTTCCATCATTATTCTTATAACGAACAACTTGCTGGAATTACGGTACTAAAAATGTTAGAATACGCGAATTATTTATATTTTATTCTACACAAATTCAGATTTAAAAATTATTTCACATATTTTACATATTTGTAACAGTTGTAAAAAAATTTACGTGTCATAACAAATCAGCATAACTTTCTACATTTATACATGACTTTATAGATGTACTGTACATTAGACTGAAATTAATTTATAAAATAAATCAAATTTGCTAAAATTCGTTAAAGTCAAACATAGTTTACATCGACAATCGTCGACTATCGAGTCAGGTTCCACAACCATTTAGTGTTTATCTGTATATACTATGAACAATGTGTAAGTACATAAACAAGGTTTT